AGGCAATGTTTCAGAAGCTGCTCACCCTTCCCTTTTGGTTTTCAGCAACTTCCTCACAGTGAGCCTGAACTTGACTGAATATGAACTTCAGTCAGTGACAGTGGAGCATTGTCACTGTCTTGTCAAGATAGAAACAAGCCAACACATGACTATGTCGTTGTGTTAAGTTCAAGTACCTGACAAAATGAAGGACAATGTGTGCAGAAACCTTGCAACCCTCAGTATCAGTTGACTATACCTGTGGAAGCTCACCATTTAGGAGACAATTTTTTTTTCTTTCTGTCCTCAGCTGTCCTTTGCAGTGACTGCTGTCTGCTGGGGGACAGACCTCAATAAAATCTGTGTGACGCTTAATGGTGATTGTCAGCTTGACTAGATTTAGAATTACCTAAATGAAACACCCCTGGCAGAATATTTGAAGGCATTTCCAGAATTGATTTAGTATAGAACTCTAAAATGGGTGACATCATCATATGAGCTAGGGTCCAGATTCTACACAAGGGCAAAAACAATCAAATGTCAACATCCCCCTCTTTCTCCTTTTGCTCTGTCAAAAGAGGTGGGGGAGGGGAAGATAGTGGCAATGGCCACATTGCTATGGTGATTTTGTGGGACTAGCCTCCCTATACCAATGACTTAGAGTTTTCCCTTGGTGGGCACTGATTTTTTGTTTGTTTGTTTGTTTGTTTGTCTGTTTCTTTCTTTCTTTTCCATTGCTATTGCCCTTGCTGTTTTGTTGTTAGACAGTCTTTGGTTCTTAGGAGCATTGACATGCAGAATGATGCAGATCTATTTAATATGCTTATGTAGATTATATTATGAATTTTAAGCAAGCTGATAAAATAATTATCACTAGTGATTTTCCAAAAACCCTTAGTATTATTTACCTCTTCTTTTTATCCTCTGTCCTATACCCCCTCCTCCCTCTCATGTTAGATTCCCCACAATTTTCCATCTTTCCCATTTCATGGAAACTGTGTGCTCCTGTCTCCCTGCCTAGATTTTCTTCTCCTCCCAACCCCCATTTTGAGAAACAATAGTGTGTTCTAAGAGAAGACGAAGATATTCTATCCAAGAAGGAATTCATCCAAGTCAGAAAATAAACAAACCACTAGTTTCAGAAAATCACCAAGTCTGACCAGATTCACTGAGTCTCTTGTCTCTCAAGCATATATAAGCCTTAAGGACTGCTAAGAGACTCTCTCAGGTAGGCAGGGTCATCTGGAGGAGGAAGAAACCAGGGAGATGAAGTCCCTGGAATAGATTCAGACCAACTAAGGTATCTGGAAAGGCACCTGTGTTTTCTGTTGAGTAGTCTAGCTTTCTTGAGCTGATATCCACACTAACACTATGTTTTTGGTAGGTAACACAGCTGTCTTTGAATATTTGCTGCTTTGGCAAGAAAAAAATCCCATACCCACATTCCTTTAAGCAATCTCAATAAATCTCATTCATTCCAAACTTTGCTGGGTGTTTATTAGGAATCTTCCTAGGAAATTAAAGTTCTCTCCATCTACTCTAAGTCATCCAACACTCTCTTTACACTCCATTGAAATCACATTGTGAATTTATCCATGGACAATTTGTGTCCATGACTCATAATTACCACCCCTTGTTTAAATCACTCACTTATTTTGGGGCCTATATTTTGTGAGATTTTAGTAATACATATGACCATGTTTCCTTCAGCATATGAGTTATCTTTAATGAGAAAATGCTCGGTCCTGGACTCATAGTTTTAGACCAAAACATTTTTTTTCCTCTGAAAAAATCTTCTCTCATTGTACTGACTTGCAAGATTATCAACAGCGAATCAGCCCAGAAATGTGCGGCTTGCTCTTGAATCTTTTTTAACTTTGTTAACTAATATCATACTATTTCCTTAAATTTTAGAATTATTACCTCTTTTTCCACTTCCATCTTCATAAAATTGTCTTCCTCCACATACCCACTTATTTTTTTTTAACTACACAAAGCCACCCACCAGCCTGTTTTCTGACCTTTGCTCTTCCTGACATTTCAGTATGCTCTCTCCAGCTTAAAATATTCACCTAATTCTGCTACTTGTATCATCAAAATATTCAATGATAATATTTGTCCTTTAATCATTTTAAGCATATATCTAGAATTTCCAGAAAACAAAGAACTTGCATTGGGATGCTGATTTTCTCTTATGGCTACTAATGTTTAACAAACATCCAAATTCTATTTTAGATTTTAAAAATGCATGGAGAAGAGGAAAAGATTATTCTAAAGAAGATGGAACATGATTAATCAGTATTTAATATAAAAATAAAGACCCTGACACAGATACTGGGGTTCCAGCTTCAATCTGAAAAACAAATCATCTGGACACTAGCTTATGAAAAGCGTTCCTGGCTCCACCGAACCTCAGACTGCAATCCCAGACTTTTATGCTCTCCTCAACATGACTGGAGAATCCTGAGACTGAATGTCTTCCTATTCTCAATGGGGCTGGGGGCAAATGCTATCTCTGAGACCCTTTTCCTGTCTTAAATACTTCTAATGAGTCCTGGAATTCTAGGTGTGTGATCCCAAGTGCTGTGATCTTTTTTTTTTTTTTGTGTGTGTGTGTGAGCTGTTTCTCTTTAGGACTGGATATAATTTGTATAGCTCAGAGTGGCCTTGAAATAACAGAGATCCCAAGAGTTGGGATTAAAAGTGAGTACCACCACCTGGCTTCTATAGCTTGTGGCTTTGAAAGACTTTGCTTTGTGAATCTTCAGGTAAACTTTAATAAATAATAAATAATATGTTAACATAGAGCACCATTTTTATTGCTTGGTTTTGTAAAGTTAAGACACTAGATTGGATTTAAATTCCCTTCTCTTTGTCTGGTCCATATTTTTAAAGATAGTGATCAGCTAAAGGATGATGCAAAACTGGACTCCAGAGAATTAGCTACAGTTCAGTTGAAAAAGAATCAGAGTTAGAATTGACTTTATATTCGTAATTATTTTTATAAGAGGCAATAACCAAAATTTTCTACCAGTCTTGTTAGTTTCACAGTAATGAGATACAAGCAATAGATTGACCCTGAATTATCTGAATGTGACTGTGAAATAAGAAATTCAAATTACAACACTTTCCAAAGAGGCAAATAGGCAGAAATCTCCAGGAAGGAAACCAACTGGGCACCTGGAAAATGGACTAGACTATTGAAAAACATCATCTTTCTTTACAGTAGAGAAAAAGTGAACAATAAAGATGTAAATAAAAAACTATCATTTTACATATATATTTAAGGATTTATATCACATATTACATAAAACAGTTTATTATCTTCAATATTATACTTCAGACATCACTCACATTTTAATGAATACCATAGCTTCCCAATGTTTTTTTTTTCTCACTATATAACCCAGGATGCATGCAGACTCTCCCTCTTTGGTCCTCAGCCTGCTCTGTGCCAGGATTTACAGTTGTGTTCCACTTGTCCTCGCACCAAACATTTTCCTGAATTGATGAAATTCTATAGTATAGTATTCATCACGCTTGTCTAACTTGATTATTCAGTACTATTGCTTCTTTAATATGCTGTTTTGGATTTATGCTTGTGGTCAAGATGAGGCAATATCATAAACTGAAATATCTCATCAAGATAGTGATGATGATTACAAAAGCATTATACAGAATTTAAGGATCTGTAAGAAAGGCAAGCATTTTTTAAGCCAATCAGAAAGGCCTCTCTGTAGAGGTTTAGTTTACAACAATCAAGGGAACAAATAACTAGCAAGGGATTTCGTGGGTCCAGAGTCTCTGAAAGCCAAGCATTCCTGCCATGCAGGAGCTGTGTCAAGGCTGCTAATATGATTAGAGCAAAGCAGGCACCACAGGGCATGGGACAGGGTTGAAGATGTGACAGTACAGAGGTTCACAGCATACATGAGAGAGAATAAACTTTTCTTAAATTGCATACCTTGGAGAAGTAGCAACAGGTTGATGATATAATTCATGTTTCTAAACAAAACAAAAACATTCCTCCAGAGTGGAGAAATCACTGAGAGCAGAACCTTTCCTTGGGGTCCTGGTATACAATAGTGACTACACATGATGGTCTATAGCATGGACTAAGGTAAACACAGAGTTTGGTATGAGATATGAGACTGCGTTTGAAATATAGGTCAAAGGAAGGGATTGAGCATTTTATTTTAAAAACTACATACATAAAGAACTGGGGATACTAACAATTGTTACATAATACTTACAAGATAGACTGGATGTGGGGAAAATGAAGTTATATTTAAAGACCCATGTTGAATAATCAAGAAAGTATATAGTCAGTTTGAAATATTAATATGTCCAGGATGGGAAATATAAATGAGACAAGCACTGATGGATTGGTTGCATTTTTTATGTGGGAAAATATACAATATTTTTGGTTTTGTCCCTTCGATTGTTAGAAATGTATTATTCTCATTTTTATTCTACCTTACAAGATGTTGTCTCTTTTCTTAGCAAAAATATTGTTCCTCCGACATGAAACATAAAGTGAATGCTGGTGGGCATAGAGGATGCATGATATACACCATTCCTAACCATTTAGGAAGAAGTAAGTTGAGATCCTTTCTAGTCTGGAAAATATATTTCTAAAACCTTTCTTCCCAAATAAAAATTGTAAATAAAGAAAATGAATTATCCTTTTGGAAAAAATCTTACATGCACGGTCATTAAAACTAGCATATGTTTTGTGGAAGTTACACACTATTTCAATTCAAATAAACTTAAGTTGGATGCATATATTGTGTTTGCCTGTCTCAGAACTAGTGGAAGTTGTAAATATCACAAACAGCTTTATTCACAAGTTGACATATTTGTTGAGATAATACTAACTACATACAAAATGATCCGATAAATGTCTGGAACTGTAACTGGTTAAGGAAGTAATAAATAGTATGGAGCTGCTGACAATTAAATTCAACACTATAGGCAAAGTGGATAGACCACAGGAAAATCTGCAGCTGAGCATAGCTTACCAAGAGGCTGGCCTGCGATGACCCTGGCATTTTCTCCAGCCACGGCAGCTCTTGCATGGCGCTCACTCATGTATTGGACAAAAGCATACCCTTTGTGAACGGAGCAGCCAACGATTTTCCCATACTTTGAAAAAATAGCTTCAATGTCGACTTTTTTGACGATGGCTGTATTTAAATTGCCGATGAAAACCCTGGAGTTGATGGACTTGGGGTCATTCTTATTGGTAACATTGCTGGTCTGTGTTTTGCCCGTCATGGTTGGCTCACCTTGTTTTAATCCTTAAACAAACAGACAAATAAGATAATCAGAAAATAAAATAACTAAATTTAATATATTTCACTGGCATTGAAAAAGTTTCAAATTGTCATCTGGAAATGCAAATTTATGAATATTACTGATTGTCTTGTAAAGAAAATTTAATAATATTCACGGTACACATCGATTGACTAAACCATGTTAGGAAATTCTCATAATTAATTACATATAGTTCTCAAAAATGCTTCAATTTTGTATCCAATATCAGCCCTGAGTATGACTGAATATTTTATAGTCATTTTATTTGTAAAGATACTTATACTTGATAAGGAAAATTTAAGGAATAAACCTGTTTATTCTGTGAAAAGAAGAAAAGAAGATAAAAGTCCACATGTGCAAATCTGATGAAAGGGATATTTAGTAACACAGAATTTTGCAGAGTTTGAGCACAGGCTGTATGAGCTATAGGCTCTGTAACAGGCACACTGGTTATCTGCTTCAGCAGAGGAATCCTACAGTCAGAAGCCAACAACTCATCCATTAAAGGCTAAAGAAAAGAAAAAAAGAAAAGATTAATATCAGAAACTTGATTTGGATTCTTTTGCATAAGGGAAGAATAATTAGTTCTCTTCATGACGCTTAATTGAACCAATAATATATGTTATCACAGTCAAATGTAAATAAAATGATATGAACAGCCATTATTCATCAATACTAAGAAAATTACACTGGAATACTGGAGCTTTTTTCCTCAACTTCATTTTTTAAGTAAAGTCAATAAAGCTTTTGTTTGAAAACATGAAGATCCATAGCCATATTTAATGAGTGTTGATGCTTGTCAGGTACCCTCTTCTGTTTAGAAAAACCATTATGTGAAAGGAAACCTCAGGAGGATTATACTCTGGTGGGGATGGTCATTAGTTATGGCTAGCCAATGGATACATTTTCTTAGTGATAGTAACATATTTATATGAAGACTGCCTTTAAAATATTTCAGGTATAAAATAACAAGTGCAATTGATGCTCAAGAATCATTTTAAATGACACTTTTCACTTAGTTGTTAATCTAGTAGAGTCTCAAAGCCACATAAATTGGGTATGCATGAAAATTCACTGTGTATTTAAAAGAAGTGCTCTTGAAATCAAGCACAAACTAGTAGCATAAAAATGTTTCAAATAAAGCTATTCATTATTACATCTGAGGTTATATAACTTTACTCCAATATAGTCGCTAACACAAGTCATCATAATGAAGGTAGATCTAGTAAACAAACCATTAAGCCATTTACATAAAAATTAAGGGAAATTATCAAAAAGAATGATTTAAATCTGCCCTATATTATTCCAGCTTAGCTACATTTTACTTGTTACTTCATTATGAAATATTCAAGCTAGAATTGTAGAAAATAAGACTAATACTTTTTTTAATCATGAAATTATACCTATTGAATAACTCAAGACAAATCTGAAAATGCAAGAAAAATTCAGGTGCATACTAAAACACCAACTCCTTTGTATAATCTAATATAGATTCCCTATCTTACTAGTATAGGACAATATCAATAATAAAAACCACAGAAAACATACTACCAATTTATAGTTGTATGACAAATGTTTTCTAAAACATCATATTTGTGATATAGTCAAGTGTAAACAGTTACTATGGCTGACATTTATTTTGTGGATAGGGACCTGCTGGTTGGGAAGGAATCTTAGGGACTCTTAGATGAGATCACCTGGATGAGGTCAGAATAATGATTTGTGGCCCATTCAATCTGTCATACAGACTGGCCTGTATGACAATGAGAGTTCTGTTTAAGTTGTTTATATTATCATGACAATGTTTCCTGAAAGTCAATCCTTGGATTGATCACTGATGTTCTATTCCTTCTCTGCTACTGAACTATCTAGTTTATTTGTCTTTATTACATGAATTTTTGGTCCATTGAAGAAAGACTTGCTCTTACAGCCTCAATGACATAATAGAGACCAAATGACTCAAAAACCTATAAAAACATGTAAATATAGATGACATATGTTATTCAGACAATACTTACAATTGATACCATTTTAATAAACAATTTTCCCTATGATTATCTAAAAACAAAATGCATAGTTTATCTTCAATTAAAAAATTATGTCTATCTCATTGACCAAACAGTTAAATAGTTTTAAGCCCATACTGACTCCTGGGACTAACTTAGGTCCTTCCCAACAGGGGTAGAGGGCCATGCTGACTCTTGGGTCATTAAGGTTAGACTTGGAAGAACTGGGCTTTAGTAATGTGTACAAATGATCCCTAGAATATTCTTTGGGATCAATGATGCAAAAAACAAACAAAAAAGCACACACGCACAAAACAACAACATGATTGTCAACCTCTACTATAATCCAAATGTATATCAGCAAAGGGCATAAACATTCTTAAAAAATAGAGCTCAAATAAATAGTCACAAAAGACTTGCCATCTTCATGATTCAACCAAAAATTCCTTCAGTTTTATTAATATTTAAAATATTTCAAAAATATTACCACTTATCAACAGAAAAAAATTAAAGATGAATCAAATGAAATTTTCAACAACAAATTATTCCTAAGATTGAAACACACTAAATAGATATATATTACAGATGACAAGGTCTCTGCAGAAATGACATGTAAATTTAAAGATGTAAAAATACAGAATATACCAAATGCAGTAAAAAGGGAAAACGTTGAAAAATGTACTTCAGACAGCTGGGTGAATGATATCAGGCTGCTTATCATATATTTATCCAGAGCCCTGGAGGAGCTATCCAAAAATTACTTAAATTACTTAAATATATGATGGTCCCAATCCCCGTAAATTTCATAGAAGTGATATTATCAAAGAGTTGAGAAACTAAAAGTATCCTAAGGGGAAAAATACAAAGAAAAGCACATGAGATACATCATA